CTCGGCTCACGGCCGGGCGCACCCCCGCGGCTCGCGCCGCGGTCGCGCGGCTCGCACCGCAGTCCCGATCGCAGGGGGCACCCGCTTCGCCGAGGAGCCGACCGCGGAGCCGGAGGCCGAGTCGGCCACGCGATCAAGACGAGCTGGTGGAGCAACGGGCGATCGTACGACCAGCATTCGCTGGACGGCCCCCCCTGCTCCGCAACCAGATGGGCAAGCTCCTGCCACGAGGCAGCCGCAAAGGCCCGGTCAAGCCAGCAGGTTGGCCCGTGAACGGGCGGGGCACGCTTTAGAGAATCAGAAGCAGTGCAACCTGCACGCATGATGTCAAGGACGTGCACGACGAGCGGCGTGCAAGCTGCATGCATACCACGAGGAACGTCAGATAAGGCTCGAAGCCCTCATTGGCCCCAAGAGCGCCCGGGTGCACGAGGGGCGCCGGAGGAACAGCCATGGATGGAAGGACCTCGGCAACAGCGAGCCCCTTCCAGGCTCGAACTGCTCCTTACTCCAGCGTCTTGACTGCACTTGTGGTAGGACCGCTCCCGACATGTCCCGTGGCGCTAATCGCAGCCTAGCGGTTGATGACAAAAACAACTGCTAAAGACATCAGCTTCCGGCTGTACTTCAATGGACTACTTCGCTGTCTCGCCGTAGACTCCGAGATCCGTGCGTGGATCACGAGCAGTGCATGCATCTGTCGCTACGAGATGTAGTTCACCTGGAAAGCCACTCTTCGGGCGATAACGAGGTCGGCGGGATGGGTGCAGCCTTTGGGTTTGCGATGGCCTCGAATCCGTTAGGCAATCTAAACACTCTCTTGTGCCACGTCTACATACTGCTACTGCGGGCTTCCAGTGCTATCTAAATACATATACGTGCATACTATGTACAGACGTATGTCCTGATATTAACACATACACACACACGCACAAACACACACATGCGTAACTCATGGCCCGTGCCACCAGCGAGTCGGCACGAGATGGACCTACAACAACAAGTAAATATAGGAAGCTGAAGGCACAACCGCTTAACTGTGGAACTAGCCATATGAACACGTGTCAAGCCAGGGCGGTCTGAAACATTCTAACGTTCTAAAGTCCCATTGAATGCCGACATTCGTATGTAACTACATGTTCCTATTGTTTCACACGTACACAGCACTTACTGTTAGCAATCAAGCGGTACACTATATCACAACAACGGCCTACCGGCCGTACTTGTGTGGCAAACGGTTTAGCTCTGTCTAAAGAATGTGGTCTCAATCTACTCTGCAACTACCGATCTGACGACACATCTGTTTAAGTATGCCTGCCCCTCTAACCGCCCAGCTTTCAGCCTATGAGACTGTCGCCGTCTCCACCTGCCTGACGATCGAACCACCGATCTGAGCATCTAACCGTCAAACCACGCGGCAATCACGGGACAACCTCACGACACTCGCAGGAGGTCCATGGGAAAACCGCGGGACTGTCCACTCACTCCTGACTCCCGCTCCCGCTCCCGACACTGGGAGTCCAGGCTAACTTGACACTCACTCCTACTCCCGCTTTCTCTTTGCAACCTCACTCTCAACCCAATGACTGCTCTGTCTATCTCTCTCTTTTTCTCTATCCTTCTTTCTCTCTCCCTCTCTCTCTCACCCTGCGTCTATCACTCACACTCCTGCACTACACTCACTCGCACTACCGTTCCACTGAATTTCGGTCACAGGCAGAGACCCAACATGAGACACCTGAGAAGAGCTCGAAATATACACCAAGTCGTCTGTACGACGAGGGTACACATCGGGCCCTTCCAAACCCGTCGCCCTTCCAGCCTCTGGGCCCGCACGGCCCAAGCGCGACTCTGCACAGAAAATACTGCGCAGTCTATCATATATCACCGCTCTGACTGCGATTGCACTGTTAAGACTACCCATGGGCACTGGCGATCCCGCGCGCAGCGTCCCCGCGGCCTCAGCCACAATCGATAAATCCGCCCGCCCTCTTCCGGCCGCCCTGCTGCCGGCCAGTGCCGTCGGAGCACCCAGCACAGCCCTTCCCCACCGCCGGCGGTCCCTGCCACACCCCCAAGCCCGCAGGCCGAAGCATGCAGCGATCGCGCCGATCGGTCAGGCTGGAACCTTTCTGGAATTCTGGGGGGCGGGAACCAAAGCATACGATGTGCTAATTTTTTCACGCGGCGCCCCCGGAAGTCCCGACACTTTCTCCAGGGCCATTTATTCGAAATCCTGGATCATTATACGACGGTCCCGGGGCCCGGCGAGGGCCCCCAGCGGACAGAAAAAGCCAAACACAGACCATCGTGATTCTATTATGGTGACTAAGTCTACACATATATCCACTGTTCCCTGGCCAGGCCCATCCTGAACCAGCAATGGTGTACAACCTCAGGATGTTGTTTTAAGGAACCACCCAGGGTGATCGTTAGAACTGCACCGATAAAGATTGATTGCCAGGGCGGACTTCGCCGAACGATACCTTTAGTACCTCGTGAACTCTCATACAAAATGAAAGTAACAACAAAAACGGTTGCGACCTGCACAACTGTTTTGCAATGTTCTTGCGATGTCCGTCCGATTTTCGTCTGGATCGCGGCGAACTTCGTCTGCGTGCGCGCTAAGAAGATTGGACTGCGGTCTGGGCAAAATCCAGAGCACTGAAAGCACGTCCACTGAAGTACGAGGCTTAATTGTGAAAGCTGTACCTGCAGTCGCTTGGATGTCCGTGTCGTCCTCGCATAAGATCTCCATCGGAATCACCATCGAAAAATTGATGTTCATCGGCCGGTCTAGCGGGTGATCCATCCCATGGTATCGCTCCGTCCCCCGCACGGAGCGTTATATCAGCACCAAGGACCACCTAACATAAGTACTTTCCGTGGCCAACATAGCGGTAGAAGAGCTCAGTAGGTAGTAGTAGTAGTAGTAGTAGTAGTAGTAGTAGTAGTAGTAGTAGTAGTAGTAGTAGTAGTAGTAGTAGTAGTAGTAGTAGTAGGTAGTAGGTAGTAGGTAGTAGGTAGTAGGTAGTAGGTAGTAGGTAGTAGTAGTAGTAGTAGTAGTAGTAGTAGTAGTAGTAGTAGTAGTAGTAGTAGTAGTAGTAGTAGTAGTAGTAGTAGTAGTAGTAGTAGTAGTAGTAGTAGTAGTAGTAGTAGTAGTAGTAGTAGTAGTAGTAGTAGTAGTAGTAGTAGTAGTAGTAGTAGTAGTAGTAGTAGTAGGTAGTAGTAGTAGTAGTAGTAGTAGTAGTAGTAGTAGTAGTAGTAGTAGTAGTAGTAGTAGTAGTAGTAGTAGTAGTAGTAGTAGTAGTAGTAGTAGTAGTAGTAGTAGTAGTAGTAGTAGTAGTAGTAGTAGTAGTAGTAGTAGTAGTAGTAGTAGTAGTAGTAGTAGTAGTAGTAGTAGTAGTAGTAGTAGTAGTAGTAGTAGTAGTAGTAGTAGTAGTAGTAGTAGTAGTAGTAGTAGTAGTAGTAGTAGTAGTAGTAGTAGTAGTAGTAGTAGTAGTAGTAGTAGTAGTAGTAGTAGTAGTAGTAGTAGTAGTAGTAGTAGTAGTAGTGGTAGTAGTAGTAGTAGTAGTAGTAGTAGCAGTAGTAGTTGTTATAGTACTCGTGATAGTAATAAAAAATGGTAATAACAATAATAGTAGTAGTAGCAGCAGTACAAATAGAAAAAGGGGTAGTAGTAGTAGTAGTAGTAGTCGTAGTCGTAGTCGTAGTCGTCGTCGTACTTGTCCTCGTACTCCTAGTCGTAGTCGTAGTCGTAGTCGTAGTCGCAATCGTAATAGTAATCGTAGCGGTGGTAGTAGTACTAGTAGCAGTAGTAGTAGTGGTAGTGCTTGCCGAAATAGTAGTAGAAATAGTAGTAGTAATAGTAGTACGAGTAGTAGTAGAAGTAGTAGTAGTCGTAGTCGTAGTCGTAGTCGTAGTCGTAGTTGTAGTAGTAGTAGTAGTAGTAGTAGTAGTAGTAGTAGTAGTAGTAGTAGTAGTAGAGGTAGTAATAGTAGTAGTAGTAGTAGTAGTAGTAGTAGTAGTAGTAGTACTAGTAGTAGTGGTGGTGGTAGTAGTAGTAGTAGTAGTTGTGATAGTAGTTGTCCTCGTCGTCGTCCTCGTTCTCTTCGTCGTCGTAGTGGTAGTAGTAGTAGTAGTAGTAGTACTCCTAGTAGTGCCGGTAGTAGTAGTAGTAGTAGTAGTAGTAGTAGTAGTAGTAGCGATAGTCGTACTACCACCAACGTCAAGTATTACTAGTACTAGGAGTAGTCGTAGTAGTAGTAGTAGTAGTAGTACTACTACTACTACTACTACTACTAGTAATAGTACTGCTGCCACTAATGCTATCACGCCTACTACCATTTAAACTACTACTTATACTACTCCTACTACTATTTCTACTACTACGACTAGTACTGCTACTGCTACTACGACAACTACTACGTCTACAACTACTACAACGACTACGACTACGACTACTACTACTACTACTACTACTACTACTACTACTACTATCAATACTACTACTACTACTACTACTACTACTACTACTACTACTACTACTACTTCTACTACTACTACTGCTACTACTACCACTACTACTATTCCTACTACTACGACCACTCCTACTACTCCTACTACCCCTACTACTACTAGGGCTATCCGGGGTTCGGTGGCCAGACAGTCCGTCCGTCCGTACCCGTAAGGCTGGTGATGGATTTCTGATGGTGATGGTGTGTGCGGTGGTGCTCGGTGGTATGTGTGGTGTGTGTGGTGTGTGTGGTGTGCGTGTGCGTGTGTGGTGAGTGTGGTGTGTGTGGTGTGTGTGGTGTGTGGTGTGTGGTGTGTGTGGTGTGTGTGGTGTGTGGTGTGTGTGGTGTGTGTGTGGTGTGTGTGGTGTGTGTGGTGTGTGGTGTGTGTGGTGTGTGTGGTGTGTGTGGTGTGTGTGTGGTGTGTGTGTGGTGTGTCTGGTGTGTGGCCGGGGTCAGGTGGCCGGGGTTCGGTGGCCAGCCCGT